ATTATTATTATTATTATTATTATTATTATTATTATCCCATTTTTGCCATCCCAATGTTCTGTTTTTATCTCAAGAAAAAATGGTCAGCCTAATCATAGGTATGCGGTACTGGGGCCCTGGACAAAGCTTCTGGAACCAAGCCTATTATTAACATGAGGGCAAAAGAGAACCAGACAGCCTATGACCTTGACATGGTAAATACAACATGAGGTTGTGACCATACCTTGCATCCCTGCAAATATATCAGTCTATCAAAGGTGACCTTTCAGAAACTTCCCTTTGGGGAAACTTCCCTTTGGGAAACTTCCCCGTAGAAAGATAGCTCGAGACTCTAAATTCTGGGTGTAGAATTTGTCAGAAAAAGATATGATATATTTGGTGTGATAGATTATAGTTTCTCGGATACAGCTTAGGAAGTTATGTTGTGTTTTTTATATATAATTGTTATTTGTTATTTGTTTAGGATGTAGTATCTATGTTTTTTATATATTTTTTTCCTATGGTCTATGTATTGGTTTGTTTGTCATGTTTGTGTTGTTGTTTTTTAATGTAAAATTTTATAGTTGTTCAATAAAAAAAAAATTAAAAAAGAAACTCCCCTTTGGGAGTAGTATCAGGCTGTTATTTCAGTATTATAATATCCACCAGCATGAAAGCTGTCCAGATATAATAATAAATTAAAAGTTAAGAGAGGAAATTAAACTGTGTTGCAATAAAGCCTGCATGGTGTAGTGATCTGAGTGTTTGACTACAACTCTGAAGACCAGGGTTCGATTCCCTGCTCAGCCATGAAACCCACTGGGTGACCGTGGGCCAAACACATGCTCTCAGCCTGGGGGGAAGGCAATGTCAAACCTTCTCTGAATAAATCTTGCCAAGAAAATCCCATGATAGGTTTGCCTTAGGGCAGGGGTAGGCAACCTTTTTGAGCTGGGGGCCGGGCTGCTGTCCCTCAGACAATTGGGGGGCCGAAACACCAAAAATAAATAAATAAAAATTTAAAAAAATTTTAAAATGTGCATGCACACTGTTTCAGCCCCAGAAAAGCCATGGTAATACCCCTGTGGAGATTTTGCCAAGAAAACCCCAAGAACAAGTAATAACAACAATAATCAATATCATTATGGCGGGCGGCGGCAGGGGGTGGCGGCAGGACCGGCTTGGGGCCAGTCCAAAGGTCTTGGGGGGCCGCATCCGGCCCCCAGGCCTTAGGTTGCCTACCCCTGCCTTAGGGTCTCCATAAATCAGAAATGACTTGAAGGCAAATAACAAGAGCAACAACTCAGGCCAAAGCCTTGCCCAGTATTCTGTTTCTAGAAAGGTCAAATAGATGCCTCTAGAGAAGTCCACAAGCAGGGCATGAGCACAACAGTACCTCATCCCCCGTTCTGCTTCCCTATGCCCAGAACAACTCTTGGCAATATATATCATATATGATAATATATCATCTTGATGACTAGTAGGCATTGATATCATACTGCATTAATCTGCATAATCCCTTCTGAAGGCAATAGAAATTGTTTCATGGAACATGTCCAAACCTTTTCTCCTCCATAAGGGGTATCATTCAGGGGAAACCTAACCCTACATTAAACAAAAAAAATCTTCTCATAGTGCTGTCAAGGGAGGATGCCTCTCCCAAAAGTTTTCTTTGTGTAGGATGCATGACTAATGAAGGAGTGACCTGCAATCTGGAGGGCACATAATCATCAAAATCAATGAAAGCAGCCACACCTCTGGCTGAGAAATTTTGACATCATGTCAGAGGAAAAAGCTGAAAGACATACAACAAAGAGCAACTCTTGAATGACTTGATTGGTTTGGTAGGTAGCAGAACCAGGGAAAGAGGCACAATAGGGAAAATATTGATACAGGTTGAGTCGTCCTCATCTGAAATACCTGAGACAAGAAGTGTCTTGGATTTCAGAGTATTTCAGATTTTGGAATATTTGCATATACATAATGAGAAATTTTGGACTTGAGACACAAGTCTAAACATTAAATTCATTTTTGTTTTGTATACACCTTATACCCATAGCCTGAAGGTAATTTTATACCCAATGTTTTTAATAATTTTGTGCCTGAACCAAAGTTTGTGTACATACAACCTTCAGAAAGCAAAGGTGTCACTATCTCAGTCACCAATGTGGACAGTTTCAGATTTTGGAATATTTTGGATTTCAGAATTCCAGGTAAGAGAGACTGAGCCTGTATAGATGGCTCCCCTGGTACATTTTAATAGTACCAAAAGTATAGAAATGGAATTGGTGTTCTGGTTCCAGTTAAAGATTATGTAAGATAGACTTCTCCACCTTGATGCATTCCTATGCTGGGGAAGCCCTGTGTTGGACTACAACTATATATATAAGATTATATTATAAGCATGACTGAGATAATAAAAGTTACATTGCAACATATGGAGGTTGTTGTTGTTTCTTCTTACCCACCCCTTGCTATGGATCAAGGCAGGTAACAACAACAAATCAGGCCACAATTAAAAGAGCATATAAAATCAATATAGGTTATAATAATAATAATAATAATAATAATAATAATAATAATAATAATAATAATTTATATCCCACCCCTCTGAAAACAATCGAGGTGGTTAACAGTTAAGAACAGACCCAAATACAATTAACCCCAATACCCCCCCTTAAAACAGTATTAAACTCAAACAAATTAAAATCATCCAATTTAAAACAGTCAATAAATAGCAATGAGCCGACACTTCAACTATTGGAAGAAAAAGTGGCGGTGTTCATATAAACTTGGAGAGGACTTCTGGGAGGGCTCTCCTTAGATAGAATTCCTGAAATTCCTGAGGTTGGGATCACTATTCTGGAAAGGCCTGCCGAAAGAGATCCATCAATAATCAATACACTATATACATCTGGATAGCCTTGCTAAAAGAGATTGGTCGTTACTGTTTTTCCTCAGAAAACTTGCTTTCAAAACAAGAACCAACATAGAAACCAGTGCAAAAATGTCCAGGGTTTGTGCAGAAAAGTTTTCTTTACAAAAATAAAAAACCTATGTTTTAGTTCAAATTAATTTGGGAAGGGCAGAAGTCCTGAAGCACAGAATCTCATTGTTCTTTTTCATTTTCCTAATGAATTATCATGAAATGTGATACTTTTTTCTTTCAGGAAGAGCAAAGTGACAAGTGTTCTTTACATACCTGTTGGGAATAACATAGAATCATAGAGTTGGAAGGCACTATATGGGCCATCAGGTCCAACTCCCTGCTCAGTGCAGGAGTCCCAGTTAGACAGCATCCCCAGTTAGTAGTTGTCCAGCTTCCTTTTGAAAGCATCCAGAGAAGATGACCCTACCACTGTAGGCAATTGGAGACAGGCCACTCTCATTGTCAAGACATTCCTTCTAATGTTCAATCACAATCTGGCCCACCTGCAACTTAAAACCATTAGACTTCGTGGTATCCTCTGAAGCAGCAGAGAACAAGTCTGCACTTTCCTCTTTGTGGCAGCCCTTAAGGTATTTAAAGAGTGTGATCATGCCACTCCTCAATCTTCTCTTGAACAAGCTGAACATGCCCAGCTCCTTCAACCTCATCATATGTTTTGTTCTCTGTATCTCTTAGCATCTTCATTGTCTTTCTATGAGCTTGCTTCAACTTGTCTATATCTTCTTAAAATGAGGTTTTAAGAACTGAACACAATATTCCAGGTGAGGCCTGAGCAGCACAGAATTTAGGGGGACTATTACTTCCTTCTCCCCTCAGCTTGGAAAGTATGCTTCTATAAATGCAAGCAAAGGGGGGAAGCAGACGGAAGCGCCGGAGACGCCGCCGGACGGAACGCTGCAGGACCGCAGCCTCCGCACCGCGGCGCTCCTGCGGCGTCCCTAAAAGGAGCCCCAAATTGGCGCTCCTTTTAGAAGACAGGGAAAGTGCACCCTAAACGCGTAGGGCACACTTTCCCTGCCTTTTCTGCCACAGCGCATGCGAACGAATGTTGGGGAGGTTGTCCCCGGAGCGCCGGCCGTGCGGAGGGCCGGCGGCTCCGAGGACGACCTCGGGAAGAGGAAGGGGCGCCGCGCGTGCGGCTGCCCCTCCTCTTCCTTGCCTCGGAGACGGCTCAATAAGCCGTCTGCCGAGGCCCTAAGTTAACATTTTACTTCTTTGCCAACACATCATACTGCTGGCTCACGTTCAACTTATGGGCAACAAAAATCCCAAAGTCTGTTTCATATGTTGTCCTGCTGAGCCAAGTATCCCCCATCCTGTATCTGTGCATTTGGTTTTTGTGGCCCAAATGTAGAATTTTGCATTTGTCCCTGTTGAATTTAATTATTTGCAGTCCAGTTTTCCAGCGTATCAAGGATCCTTTTGGATTTTATTCCTATATTCCAATGTGTTAGCTACCTCTCCCAGTTTTGTACTATCTGCAAATTTGATAAGGATTTCCTCCTTCCCATCATCTAAATCATTGATTTTAAAAAAAATTGAAGAGTATCAGCCCCAGGACAGAACCCTGTGGCACACTCCATTATAGACTCCTTCCATGCTGAAGCACAGCCACTGATGACAACCTTTAGAGCATGGTTTTCAAACCAATTATGGATCCATTTGATGAAGTTTCCATCTATTCCATATTTAGTCAGTTTCTTAATCAAAATATCATGGGAGACCTTATCAAATGCTTTGCTGAAATCCAGATAAATGGTTGCCCCCATTTTTACCTGTGAAATACTGGAGGATGTGAATTTGTTGCAGCCAGAAAGCAACCAGCAGGTCTCTTGAGAGTGGTGCCAGAACAGAGCCCTCCCAGAAAGGGGGGGGGGGGGTGAAGAATTGCTGCCCATCCTTCTCCACTCACTAGGCAGGTCCCTCACTCTGCCCAATGAACAGGCTGGTCTTGGTGGTACTTATGTGTGTGTGTTGTGTGTCTTCAAGTCATTTCCAACTTATGGCAATGCTAAGGTGAACCTATCATAGGGTTTCCTTGGTAAGGTTTGTTCAGAGGAGGTTTGCTATTGCCTTTCTCTGAGGCTGAAAGCATGTGATTTGCTCAAGGTCACCCAGTGGGTTCCATGGTCAGGCTGTGAATCAAACCCTGATCTCCAGAGTCATAGTCCAATGCTTAAACCACTACTCCACAGTGGCTTTTCTTTACTCTCAAGTTATATAGAAATTTACTGATGGGATTTACACCTGGTGCCCTACAGATAAATTGAATGTCCGCTTCAGGCCATCCACAATAAGCCATAACAAAGTAAGTTGTAGGTCCAACATTTCTAAAGGATTGGGGAAAGCTGGGATATAAGACTGATTTTAGCCACAGAATCTAACCATTCTTGAAACCAATATAAACATCTAATACCATTGAGAAATGTATACCCAACCATAGTTTTTATAATCATTTAGTGCTAAATGGAAAGATGTTTGTCCATGAAAATAATCCTGAGAGGTTATATTTTCATTGCCTTTCAAAAACCAGCCATGTGTGAAAGGGTGAAGCCTAAAACTACCAACAGATGGCAGAAGGTACTGTTGGGGTGCTTCTGCCTATTTATGCTAGCCACTGGCATTTAACAGCAGCACTCTGGTTGACTGAGAGGGTTTTATTAAGTATTAGAGAACCAGCGTGGCATAGTGATTTGAGTGTTGGACTACAACTTTGAAGACCATAGTTTGATTCCCTGCTCAACCCACTGGGTGACCTTGGGCAAGTCACATGCTCTCAGTCTCAAGGGAAGGCAATGGCAAATCTCCCCTGAACCAATCTTGCTGAGAAAATCCCATGATAAGTTTGCCTTAGGTTCAC